GGAGACCTTGTAGTAGCAATTGACGTCCATGTAAAATACTTCTCCAAATAAATGAAGGCCTGGAACCCAAAGTTGCGTAGAGAATTTCATTATCTTCGAAATATCTGCTTTTCATAACTCTAGCAAAAAGACTTGAAGGATGTTGCAAAATTCTCCAAACTTGTTTTGCTAACAAGGCTTGATTAAAGCACTGTATATCCCTGAAACCTAATCCACCTTGATCCTTAGATAAGCACAGTTTACCCCAGCTTAACCAATGAGTTTTCTTTTTATGTTCCAGAGAATTCCACCAGAAATTGGACATGGCAGCAGTAAGTTTTTCGCAAGTTGTTTTTGGTAATTTAAAACAAGTCATGGCATATACTGGAAGAGCCATTGCAATTGCTTTAAGAAGAACTTCTTTACCTCCAAGCGACAAGGTGCGTTCAAACCAGCCAGATAACTTAGACTTTAATCTATCATAGATATAGTCCAGAAGTTGTACTTTTGATCCACTAAAACATTCAGGGAGACCAAGATATGTACCTGTTCCTCCTTCTTTGTGAATGCATGTCAAGTGTTTGATTGAATTCTGCACCTGAAGGTTGACTTTGGAACCAAAAGTGATTGAAGATTTGTTTATATTAACCCTCTGGCCTGTCATATCTCCATAAGAATCCAAGATATGTTGAAGAGAAGTTGCTTGATCCTCAGAGGCTTTACAACTAAAGAGGCTATCGTCAGCAAAAAGGAGGTGGTGAATTGCTGGACCTGATGGAGAAAATTGAATTCCTTGAATAGCACCTGATCTTTCAGCCCGATTCAACATATGAGATAATCCTTCAGTACATAAGACAAAGAGAAATGGAGAAATAGGATCTCCTTGCCGCAGTCCTCTTTGTGGTACTATCATACCAAATGGTTGATCATTAATCACTATGGAGTAAGTGACAGAAGAAACACAAAACATTACCCAACCAATCCATTTTTGATGAAAGCCTAAAGCAGCTAGTAAACCTTGAAGGTAACTCCATTCTAACCTGTCAAAAGCTTTAGACATATCAGTCTTAATGGCCATATATTCCTGAGATATAACCGGATGCGTTCTGAGAGCATGAATCATTTCATGAGCAATTGAAATATTATCAGAAATAAGACGTTCTGAGACAAAGGCAGATTGAGTAGGCGAGATAAGCAAGGGTAACAGTGGCTGCAATCTGGAGGCCATAATCTTGGAGATAATCTTGTACAAAACAGAGCATAGACTAATCGGTCTAAGGTCAAACATTTGAGTAGGATTGGGAATTTTGGGAATAAGACATAGATGAGTATAGTTCCATTCTGTTGGAAATGAACCAGAGGTGAAAAATTCCTTAACTTCCATGGTGACTTGATGACCAATTATCTCCCAATATTTTTGAAAGAAGAGACCTGTCATTCCATCAGAACCTGGAGCACTTGAAGGATTGATCGCAAAGACAGCCATTTTAATTTCTTCTGAAGACACAGGACGTATCAAAGATTCATTCATATCCTGAGTGACTTTAGCTTGAAAATCATGAAAAAGCCAATCAAAGTTCCCTGGATGAGAAGTCTTGAATAGATCTGTGAAATAAGCTGCAGCAATTTCGCCTTTGGAAGCTTCAGAAGTTTGAGTATTCCCATTGTGATCTTGAAGAGCCTCAATTCTTTTCCTAGATCTGTTTGCTTGAACGGATGCGTAAAAAAACTTAGTGCTAGAATCTCCTTCTAGCATCCACTTTTCACGACTTCTTTGGCTCCAAAACGACTCCTCTTCTCTATATGCCACAATCAACTGATTCTTTAAACCCATAATATGTATCATTGAAGGATAATTAGAAGATTGTTCACTCTCCAAAGCCATCTTGAGCTGATTGATTTTATCCAGGGAATTAAGGCAATTAGCTCTCTTCCATTTGCTGAGAGCGTTACGACAACCTCTAAGTTTATCAGAAACAGAAGAGGATTGTAGTGGATAAACATTTGACCAGGCTGTAAGAATGGCTTCCTTTACCAGAGGCTTGTTGAGAAATCTTTTATCAAATCGAAAGTTACCCTTGTAAGATTGATTGGAAGTTGAAAACTTGACCAGAACTGGGCGATGATCAGATCCTCTTTTGTCAAGGAAGATCTGATTAGATGCTGGAAATTGACGAAACCAGTTTTTGTTACCAAAGCATCGATCTAACTTACTCTGAATCCACAACTGACTTCTCATTCCTCCCCAAGAAAAACTATTACCAGAAGATGGTAATTCATCCATTCCACATGTTCTGATCATATCAGCAAAGTCTTTAAATGTAGCTTCACTCCTCTTTGGACCACCTAGTTTTCTCCATTGTGCAAGATTTCATTAAAATCTCCTATCA